CGACGCTATGGCGCATGCGTTTTTAGAGGCGACGCTATGGCGCATGCGTGTTTAGAGGCAACGCTATGACGCATGCGTGTTTAGAGGCGACGCTATGGCGCATGCATGTTTAGAGGCGACGCTATGACGCATGCGTGTTTAGAGGCGACGCTATGGCGCATGCGTTTTTAGAGGCGACGCTATGACGCATGCGTATTTAGAGGCGACGCTATGACGCATGCGTGTTTAGAGGCGACGCTATGGCGCATGCATATTTAGAGGCGACGCTATGACGCATGCGTGTTTAAAGGCGACGCTATGGCGCATGCGTGTTTAGAGGCGACGCTATGACGCATGCGTGTTTAGAGGCGACGCTATGACGCATGCGTGTTTAGAGGCGACGCTATGACGCATGCGTGTTTAGAGGCGACGCTATGACGCATGCGTGTTTAGAGGCGACGCTATGGCGCATGCGTGTTTAGAGGCGACGCTATGGCGCATGCGTGTTTAGAGGCGACGCTATGGCGCATGCGTGTTTAGAGGCGACGCTATGGCGCATCCGTGTTTAGAGGCGACGCTATGGCGCATGCGTGTTTAGAGGCGACGCTATGGCGCATGCGTGTTTAGAGGCGACGCTATGGCGCATGCGTGTTTAGAGGCGACGCTATGACGCATGCGTGTTTAGAGGCGACGCTATGACGCATGCGTGTTTAGAGGCGACGCTATGACGCATGCATGTTTAGAGGCGACGCTATGACGCATGCGTGTTTAGAGGCGACGCTATGGCGCATGCGTGTTTAGAGGCGACGCTATGGCGCATGCGTGTTTAGAGGCGACGCTATGACGCATGCGTGTTTAGAGGCGACGTTATGGCGCATGCGTGTTTAGAGGCGACGCTATGACGCATGCGTTTTTAGAGGCGACGCTATGGCGCATGCGTGTTTAGAGGCGACGCTATGACGCATGCGTGTTTAGAGGCGACGCTATGGCGCATGCATGTTTAGAGGCGACGCTATGACGCATGCGTGTTTAGAGGCGACGCTATGGCGCATGCATATTTAGAGGCGACGCTATGACGCATGCGTGTTTAAAGGCGACGCTATGGCGCATGCGTGTTTAGAGGCGACGCTATGACGCATGCGTGTTTAGAGGCGACGCTATGACGCATGCGTGTTTAGAGGCGACGCTATGACGCATGCGTGTTTAGAGGCGACGCTATGGCGCATGCGTGTTTAGAGGCGACGCTATGACGCATGCGTGTTTAGAGGCGACGCTATGGCGCATGCGTGTTTAGAGGCGACGCTATGACGCATGCGTGTTTAGAGGCGACGCTATGGCGCATGCGTGTTTAGAGGCGACGCTATGGCGCATGCGTGTTTAGAGGCGACGCTATGGCGCATGCGTGTTTAGAGGCGACGCTATGGCGCATTCGTGTTTAGAGGCGACGCTATGGCGCATGCGTGTTTAGAGGCGACGCTATGGCGCATGCGTGTTTAGAGGCGACGCTATGGCGCATGCGTGTTTAGAGGCGACGCTATGGCGCATGCGTGTTTAGAGGCGACGTTATGGCGCATGCGTGTTTAGAGGCGACGCTATGACGCATGCGTGTTTAGAGGCGACGCTATGGCGCATGCCTGTTTAGAGGCGACGCTATGACGCATGCGTGTTTAGAGGCGACGCTATGACGCATGCGTGTTTAGAGGCGACGCTATGACGCATGCGTGTTTAGAGGCGACGCTATGACGCATGCGTGTTTAGAGGCGACGCTATGGCGCATGCGTGTTTAGAGGCGACGCTATGACGCATGCGTGTTTAGAGGCGACGCTATGGCGCATGCGTGTTTAGAGGCGACGCTATGGCGCATGCGTGTTTAGAGGCGACGCTATGACGCATGCGTGTTTAGAGGCGACGCTATGACGCATGCGTGTTTAGAGGCGACGCTATGGCGCATGCGTGTTTAGAGGCGACGCTATGACGCATGCGTGTTTAGAGGCGACGCTATGGCGCATGCGTGTAAGAAAAAAAATGCGGTTAGAGCTTAAAGATGGAAACGCGAAAACGGCGTTTCAAAATCTTCCCACTCTGAAGGCTTAATAAAAAAAAAGATCGTTTACAGACCCCCGAAACGCCGGCTTCGTATGGATGAGAGGCTGGTTTGGTGAAAAATTAGTGCGTTTAGGCCAGGGTTTGACTTCGTGTGGACGGGGCCTTGATTATTTATTATTTGCAAATCTATAATTTTAGTTAATAAACTCATAGCTTTTATATATTTTAGTTGCATTTTCCAAACTACATCCAAAATATTTGGTTAACTGTAAGATTTATTTATTTTAAACACTTAAGGGATGAAAATCGCTGATTTCATTGTTCATATGTTTTAATGATATACATGTGTATTAATATTTTTGGAGGAAAGGGAAATCAAATTCTCTTAGTTTTCATTTAGTGAAATCTAATTCAGATTAAACTGACACATAACTTTAGATTTTATCCTATTGGATTATATTATTCATTCTATTTCCTCTATAAGTTGCTGTTTTGTTTACATTTACATAAGTCAGAGCAACCATCACCTTTTCTCTGTACTGTGTCAGACCATGTTTGGACCCTTTTCTCTCTCTGGATCTGCCTAAGTTTTCATCTCCAGGTCCGTCCATAACATTATGGAACATGGTGACAGCAGGAAATGAACAAAACCAGACCCGTCCGGTTTTTAAACAACCGGAAAAGACAGTTGCTGCTGAATTTTTTCTCTTAAAAGAAGATTTTTTGGTTTAGATATTTAGGGTTGGTTCTAATTAGATCAGAACTGATTATACTGACTCTAAAACAATCATGGTTTAGTGAAAGCCAACCAGGCCGTACATTATCACCCTCATTAGACATTTTCCCATAAATAAAGTCAGTCAGCAGCATTTTCTTCATTGCAGGATGCAGAAAGGAATCTAATCAGAAAGTTATCAAGCTTTTCTTGCATAGTTGGAAGTCTATGGAAACGGAAAATAAAATAAAATATATAATCGATCACTTTACCCTTTACTGACTGCTGCCTCCAGACGGTTTCAGTCCTGGAGACCCCCCCCCTCCTCCTTATTTCCCCACAAAAAAAAGTTATCTGTTATTTTGTATGTATATTCTTTAGTATAATACTAATTTTAGTGCATTAAAATGATTAGCCTATGATAGACCTATTCATGGCTATGTAGACTCTACATTGTAAAACTTCTCGCGATCGACTGGTTGGGCCCCCCTGCTTCCCAGCATTCAATGCAGGCCCAGCAGGTTCTGCAGCAGCTTCTTCCCCACCGCCATCACACTGATGAACTGCTGAGAAACTATAAACCAGACTCTACATCACACTGATAAAACCAACCCAACAATACTGCAGATTTTCTCCATAGATATTAAAGCTCTGAACTTCCAGATCAAAGCGTTTTATCCTCCATGTTTTTTTCTCTGTTTACATGTGATCACTGCTGAACTTTATGGATGGAAACGTTCATTTGCTGTGTGGAAAGCTGTACTCAACGAAATGTTGTTTTGTATACACCCTGTTTATATAAAATGACAGTAAAAGTTCTCTAAGTCATGTTAATTTATTCTGAATGTGGGGAAACCCCATCAGCTTCCTCTGATGACGCCGCTCAGGACCTGCAGCTCAGGTTCCAACATGTTTCTCTGCAGGCAGAGCTGCCATCTGCTCCCCAGATGTTTTCATGAGCTTCCCTCACTGCTTGTTTCTGTTACCAGTAGAAGCATAAAGCCAGAGATCCTCTGGAAAAGTCAAGTAATCTGAGATGATGAGCTGCTTTCCAAAAAGTTAAAATCAATCCTCTGGACTTTGTTTCCAAGTTTGAAGACGTTTCTCTTCCATCCAGGAAGATTTTTTATTCCAAATGTCAGAAATAGCGTTTAGTTCCAGGTTTTATCCAGCAGCCCAACAAAGCCTGGTTTTAGTTTAGAAAACATGCAAATAGAAACGGATGAACGTTTTCTTCTTTTGTTAGCCTGCAATGCCCCATACCTGTCTATGTCTCTGAAAGGGGGGGGCTGCTTTCTTCCATCTGAAGCAGATTCCTGCAGAATCTCGCAGGTTCCTCTCTGACTCACTGCTTTTCTGTCCACAGACAGGATTGTTCAATCTGTCCCGCGTTACATTTTACGAATGCCTCCCAGAACCACATCAGAGGACCAGTGGGCGCTTCTTCTGCCGACTCAGTAACTGATTTATGGAGGGAAATGACACGTTGCTGCGACCTGCATTCATGGGCGAGACGAGTCTGGGGGGAGAACCCTGCACCATGATCCTAAAGGGCGCTAAAACAAAGCTTCCTCTTCTTCTTCCTGTCTGATTCAAACTTTCCAGCTGCTGGCAATGATGCGATGACGTGATGTCACCGAAAATAAGCCAAACTTCAGAAGCAGACTTCGGCTGAACCTTTAATCCCATCTTTTGAGGTGAAGATGCTGCTTCTAAAGTGTAAATGGAGCTGAGGAGCTCATGGAGGCCGGAAGGTTCCACACGGTGCAGCTCTGTGGTTTCAGCTTCTTCTCTGCTATGGTTCCATTTCCTAACTGTGCCTCATCAGACAGACACAACATGTTTTGGTCCCTGGGCACAGAGGGAGGCCTTTTTTCGACAGCACCGCCCGAAAACTGGCACATTCAAAGCTAATTATAGGAAGTGAGAGGCGCTGTGGTCAAAACAGTTTTCTGCTACAGATGAAGAGGAGCCAGACCCTCTGTTATGTTCCGTCTGGGTTCTAACCTCTAACTCGGATCCAGAAGGACGAGAAGATTCGGACCCGTAGACATGTTGTGGTCTTTGGTCTCCAGTGGACTGAATCACAGTGGGTGGAGGACACAGCCCTGGGAGACTCCCTTCTGATTCCTGCTTATCATACAGTTAAAGATTATAGTTACTCCTTCAAAATGGCCTTTCAGCTGCTCAGAGCACCCCCCCCATACACACACACACACACTCACCCAGAGGGAGGGAGGGAGGGAGGGAGGAGGTTGGAGGCAGTCTGAGCGCAGCAGCAGCAGCAGACCTACTTTACGCACAGCGCGCAGATGGAGCGGACCGACCTCCTCCTTCTCCTCGCCCTCCTGCTCGGCCCGGCCGCGGCCGACCTGAACCTGGTTCTCCTCCACACCAACGACGTGCACGCGCGCGTGGAGGAGACCAGCGTCCACTCCGGTAAATGCAGCGGCAAAGCGGGGGAATGCTTCGGCGGCGTGGCGAGGAGAGCCACGATGATCCAACGGATCCGGAGCCAAAATAAGAACGTTCTGCTGCTGGACGCCGGAGACCAGTTCCAGGGGACCGTGTGGTTCAGCTACTATAAGGGAGCCGAGGCGGCGCACTTCATGAACAGGCTGAGATATGATGCGATGGTAGGAAACTGATTCTGTTAAAGCGCTGATGATGAACTTCTGCTTTCAGTGGAGGAAACATGGATTTAGAGTCTGCAGGAGAAGCTGGATCACATCAATGTTCCACTTCTGCTCAACTTATACAGGAAGCCTGCACTCTGGGTCCCTGAGCAAGACCCTAAACCCCCCTCTGCTCCCTGTGCGCCGCACAATGGCAGCCCAATGCTCCCCAAGAGGAAGGGTTAAATGCAGAGAGGGAATTTCTGTAGTGTGAGTTCAATAAAGTTCAATTATTATAAAGAAAATCTGCTGCAAAGCAAATCAGGAGGCGTTCATTGAACTCCTGGGGGGTTCAACTCCAAGCTTTTTAAGCGTCTCTATTGGTCCAGTTAAGATAACACCTATAAAAGTGTTAGAAAGTTCCCTCTGTGAGGAACGCCCTGGGATTTCTCTTTTTATAGCTGAAATTCCCAGTTCCCCCCCCCACATTCCTGCTAGATGTGGAAGGTTAACCCAGTATCACCAGCTGCCCGTGCTGACAGCAGGACAGCCGCCACCGCCTCCTCTGAACGCCATCAGTACGAGTCAGATGTTTCACCAAGGACACAACAGCTACACTGGTATGTGACCCCGTGACCCCCCCCCCCAGCTGCAGGACGAACCTGGTCATCATGAGCAGGGAGGAGGTTCGAGGCGGTCTGAGAGATAAGAGTTGGATAGGTTGGCTCAGTGGGAGGAAGTCTGCTGATTTTTTTACCCTGAGTAGGAAAAATTTAACTTCCAACAGTATTTCTGACGTTCCTCTCAGCAGCCGGACGCCATTTTTCTTTCCCTGAATGAGTTCTGGGAAGGCACGCCATTCCGAAGCCAGCTCCCGACCTCACTCTGTCTGAAGGGATCATTTTAAGGGTTGGAGGGCGCTTCCCCCTAGCTCCTATAACTATTGGGACACACTAACCTTACACAGCAACGCGTAAAACTGAGCACTATAGAAATGGGACTGGGCCTAAACTCGCACAGCGGATTAAACTAAAGCAGACAGTTCATGAATGCAGGACTGTTAAATTTATGTATATTTTTATACAGTATTCAGCAGGTGCGGATTTAGGACATTTGGGGCCCTAAGCAAAGACAGGCAGGGGGCCCTCTGAGTGGAGAAGACAACACATCAAACAGCCCCATTCTACAGATGTAGAAATGTTAATAGAATAGACATCCATTATCTGTTCTAGGTTGTGTCCCTCTCTTCTTGTCCCTTTTCTTCTTGTTTTCCTCTCTATGTTTTGTACTCAGCTGACTTTTCATGCTGTCTCTAAAGGAATGAAAGATTTTTTCCAAGCACTAAGCTCACTTAGCTGATTGCTCCTTCCTGTGTTTCCAAAAAGGCCAAAGTAAATAACCCAGTCCTTCTTTTCACTGTAGACAAGCCATGATCTGCTTATCTGTTCTCCATTTTTCATTTGGATGAAATAATAGCTGCATGAATCATGACAGCAGACAAGATAGAGGAGAGCAGGAGGCGGGGTTACCAATCTACTCGCTCTGGAGAGCAGAGTTCGCTGCTTTTAGATGTTGTCTCCAAAGTCTCCAGTAGCAGAAAAAAGTCTCTAGATTTGGCGCTAGGAGCTTTTTAGAAATCAAAGTGCTAGAGGGGTCTGAAAAGTGGCTAAATATAGCGACTAAAGCGCTAAGTTGGCAACACTGCTCTTTGCATGGTTTGTTTTCAAATGGTTTGCTGCTGTCTGTTTGGACCTTTCTGAACATGTGCAGCAAATGGACTGATCCAATATGGTGGACACTGAAGGGGGGGGCTGAGACACTTAATATTATCGGCGTTCTGATGGCATTTTAGCCAAAGGATTTTTATCAAAAACATAATTAATGTGCAGAAATAAGGAATAGTTGTATTAACCATACATGGAAACAGAGTTTTATGGGGCCCCCAGGAATGCGGGGCCCCAGGCAGCTGCCTGGTATTTCCTAATGGTAAATTCCCCCCCCTGTGATCCAGTGTATCATATTCAGCAGGTAGACACACAGCCTCCAGGCTCTGATCTAACCTGATGTTAAAGCAGCGGTCTGTAGTCTGGTTTATAACGGCTGCATCATGCCACTGCCACCAATGTCAGTCCACAAAAAGTTCAACTTTATGCAGCTGGAGGTAAAGTTTATGTGTCCCTGTTGTCTGTTGGTGGTGGGGGGCGGGGTGTTAGAGTCAAACGGAGGTACCGGTCGCTGTGTGTTGGTTTCCTGTTGAGTTATCTGTCTTCTTTCACACATGCCGGGTGAACAGGATGTTTCTGTCCGCTGCGTTGATGTGGTCAGTGAAAGTGTTGATATCTTTGGTCTTTATCTGGACCCGTGTTTCGTCCACGTATCTGAACCAGTGACTGGGTTTGGTTCCCATGCAGGGGGGGGGGGGGGGGGGGGTTTACCATTAGGCAATACTAGGCAGCTGCCTGGGGCCCCACATTCCTGGGGGCCCCATAAAACTCTGTTTCCATGTATGGTTAATACAACTATTCCTCATTTCTGCACATTAATTAGGTTTTTGATTAAAATCCTTTGGCTAAAATGCCATCAGAACGCTGATAATATTAAGTGTGCCTCAGCCCCCCCCTTCAGTGTCCGCCATATTGGATCAGTCCATTTCAATTCTATTCAGTTTATTTCTATAGCTCCAATTCACATCATGTCATCTCAGGTCACTTTCCAGTTCACCAGATCATCCAGTCAGATTGATTCAAAGTTTTCTATCTAAGGAAAACCAGCTGATTGCATCGACTCATTGACTCTTCAGCAATCCCTCACACTAAGCATGCTTGTAGCGACAGTGGAGAGGAAAAACTCCCTTTGAACAGGAAGAAACCCAGCTCCTAGCGCCAAATCTAGAGACTTTTTTCTGCAACTGGAGACTTTGGAGACAACATCTAAAAGCAGCGAACTCTGCTCTCCAGAGCGAGTAGATTGGTAACCCCGCCTCCTGCTCTCCTCTATCTTGTCTGCTGTCATGATTCATGCAGCTATTATTTCATCCAAATGAAAAATGGAGAACAGATAAGCAGATCATGGCTTGTCTACAGTGAAAAGAAGGACTGGGTTATTTACTTTGGCCTTTTTGGAAACACAGGAAGGAGCAATCAGCTAAGTGAGCTTAGTGCTTGGAAAAAATCTTTCATTCCTTTAGAGACAGCATGAAAAGTCAGCTGAGTACAAAACATAGAGAGGAAAACAAGAAGAAAAGGGACAAGAAGAGAGGGACACAACCTAGAACAGATAATGGATGTCTATTCTATTAACATTTCTCTATCTGGAGAATGGGGCTGTTTGATGTGTTGCCTTCTTAGTTCAGAGGCCCCCGGCCCCAAATGTCCTGAATCCGTCCCTGTTCTAGTGCATTAGTGTGTAGAGCTCTGCTTTCCACTAAGTTCACTGTTAGTTTTATCAGTTTAACTTTGAGTTAAATCTCCAATGACAGTTTTATAGAAGCAAAAACCTTCAGGCAGTTTTTCATCACTGCCTGTTTCTGCCTGATTAGAGGGAAACATGTTGTAACATCCGTTCTGCGACCGTCTCCGCTCTCCTGTCCTCCATGTTTATCATGCAGAAACTTCCTCAGGTTGGTTCCTAACTGTAGAACCTTCATCACTGGGTTAATGTTGCTGTTTTCCTTCAGCTGATTTGGCCTGATTGTCTCTGATTGCTGTTTAGTTTTTCCACTCTGACGCTCTGACGCCATCTTTGGGACAAAGCAGCATCTTCACCTTTTATTTACCTTCTGTCCAGGAGCCCGGCTGCATCTCTGCGGTCGGGTTCATGTCTCCTGCCAATCAGATCAGGCTTGTGTGGGTTTTGTTTTAGAAATGCTGATTAACATAAAGCTTCTGCAGAAATATATGGAGTGAATTCTACTCCATTATTGTTGCAAACAAAGAACTATTGTAAACTGAAATGTGAAAAATATGATGTAATCAAAGGGTTTTGAGAGAAATGCTGTTTTCTCACATTTAGTTTTTTTATTTTTTCACAGCTTACATTCTTTTAAATTCCATTTTCTTTAATAGAACATTTTTAACAGGTGCTATATTTTTTAATTCTCTTCTCATTTTGCATTTTGTGCATTGCAAACTTTAAAGATTAGGTTTCGTAGATCATTGCAGCTCAATGCAAACGGCTCGGTGACCAATAAGCATGTTGCTGCTAACGTCCAGCAGACCAATAGAAACGCGTCAATCCGGAGGAAAGCCCGCCCCCATAATGTGGTCAAATAAACACAATTTGGAAAAAGAAATTAGATAAATAAAAACAGAAAATATTAAATCTATTAAGAAATATAATAAATAAATATGGAAAAACAACTTTGAAAATAAATAGGAAAAAATGCATTTCAGAATTTAGGAATCTTTCTACCAAACCTCTTTTTATTTTTTATTCACTTTTTCTTTGAGTTTCATTAATGGATTCCTTCTTTTTGATTCCTTCAAAGAGAACATCAAACTTGATTTTCTTTTTTAAAATATGTATAACATTGATATCTAAACCAATATTGGTCATTTTAAGCGTATTGGTGTCGGTTGGAGAAGTTAAACTGGTTTGTGTAGTTGGAAAAAAGTATTCAACCAATCACAGCAGTTAAATAAACAGAGATTTTATTTTTGTATCTTTGTAAATAGAGAACGGTTGATGATGCGGCCCTTATAGAGCAGTAATCAGCGCTGTTCTGATCTGGGCGGAGCTTTTCTGTTTTACTTATAATGAGGAAAAAATGAGGAAGTTTGTTTCAGAGTAAAAACACATTTTACTCACAATTAACAATTCTTTGGCTCGTTAAGGAATAATTAATCCTTGGATGCAAAACACTTCCCACCCTGACATTTTGTGGCCTTGCAGGTGAAACAGACTGAAAAAAAAAACATTTTTCTTTGGATAAATAAAACTAAATATATGAAACAAGAGAAATCGAAATTTTCAGACCACATTTGATATTAATCATCAATGTTTATTTATGCATAGTTGCTATTCTTGTTTCAGGAGGGGGGGGGGTGCGGTCATGTGGTGTAACTTTGGTCATGATGATGATGATGATGCAGCTCAGGGTTGTGTAACTGAAAGCAGAGAAGCAATGTCAGCACTGTGGTCGGTGTCTGATGGTGGAAATATATGAGATCGGTTATTATTATATCAGTTTGATTCAAAGCATCAGACAGAAGGACTCTACCGTCTTCACCTCTAAAGGTAGGTATGGTGATGGCAGCATCATGCTGTGGGACGTGGAAGCTGGTCAGAGTTAATGGGATGGAGCTAAATCCAGGAGAATCTTCTGGGATTGGGATGGAGGTTCACCCTCCATCAGCAGAACCACCCTGAACATCCAGCTGGAGATGAGTTAGGACGGCCTAGTGAGGACGGCCTAGTTAGGACAGCCTAGTTAGGACGGCCTAGTGAGGACGGCCTAGTTAGGACAGCCTAGTTAGGATGGCCTAGTGAGGACGGCCTAGTTAAGACGGCCTAGTGAGGACGGCCTAGTTAGGACAGCCTAGTTAGGACAGCCTAGTTAGGACGGCCTAGTGAGGACGGCCTAGTTAGAACAGCCTAGTAAGGACGGCCTAGTTAGGATGGCCTAGTTAGGACAGCCTAGTTAGGACGGCCTAGTGAGGACGGCCTAGTTAGAACGGCCTAGTGAGGACGGCCTAGTAAGGACGGCCTAGTTAGGACGGCCTAGTTAGGACAGCCTAGTTAGGACGGCCTAGTGAGGACGGCCTAGTTAGGACGACCTAGTTAGAACGGCCTAGTGAGGACGGCCTAGTAAGGACGGCCTAGTTAGGACAGCCTAGTTAGGACGGCCTAGTGAGGACGGCCTAGTGAGGACGGCCTAGTGAGGACGGCCTAGTTAGGATGGCCTAGTTAAGACGGCCTAGTTAGAACGGCCTAGTTAGGACGGCCTAGTTAGGACGGCCTAGTAAGGACGGCCTAGTTAGAACGGCCTAGTTAGAACGGCCTAGTTAGGACGGCCTAGTTAGGACGGCCTAGTAAAGACGGCCTAGTTAGAATGGCCTAGTTAGGACGGCCTAGTAAGGACGGCCTAGTTAGAATGGCCTAGTTAGGACGGCCTAGTAAGGACGGCCTAGTTAGAATGGCCTAGTTAGGACCACCTAGTTAGGACAGCCTAGTAAGGACGGCCTAGTAAGGACGGCCTAGTTAAGACGGCCTAGTTAGCGGCCTAGTTAGGACGGCCTAGTAAGGACGGCCTAGTTAGGACGGCCTAGTAAGGACGGCCTAGTTAAGACGGCCTAGTTAGGACGGCCTAGTAAAGACGGCCTAGTAAAGACGGCCTAGTTAGGACGGCCTAGTAAGGACGGCCTAGTTAAGACGGCCTAGTTAGAATGGCCTAGTTAGAACGGCCTAGTTAGGACGGCCTAGTAAGGACGGCCTAGTTAGAATGGCCTAGTTAGGACCACCTAGTTAGGACGGCCTAGTAAAGACGGCCTAGTTAGAATGGCCTAGTTAGGACGGCCTAGTAAGGACGGCCTAGTTAGAATGGCCTAGTTAGGACGGCCTAGTAAGGACGGCCTAGTTAGAATGGCCTAGTTAGGACCACCTAGTTAGGACGGCCTAGTAAGGACGGCCTAGTAAGGACGGCCTAGTTAAGACGGCCTAGTTAGCGGCCTAGTTAGGACGGCCTAGTAAGGACGGCCTAGTTAGGACGGCCTAGTAAGGACGGCCTAGTTAAGACGGCCTAGTTAGGACGGCCTAGTAAAGACGGCCTAGTAAAGACGGCCTAGTTAGGACGGCCTAGTAAGGACGGCCTAGTTAAGACGGCCTAGTTAGAATGGCCTAGTTAGAACGGCCTAGTTAGAACAGCCTAGTTAGGACGGCCTAGTAAGGACGGCCTAGTTAAGACGGCCAAGTTAGGACGGCCTAGTAAGGACGGCCTAGTTAAGACGGCCTAGTTAGAACGGCCTAGTTAGGACGGCCTAGTTAGAACGGCCTAGTTAGGACGGCCTAGTTAGAACGGCCTAGTTAGGACGGCCTAGGTAGGACGGCCTAGTTAAAGGCCGACCCAGACTCTACAGCAACCCCCATGTTCTGCATCTGGTTCGTCTACGAAGGAGAAAGTGGAAAAACCCTGTAGGTGTCTAAAGCTGGTTTAGACAAAGCGCTGCAGTCTGGACCTGCAGTCAGAGAATGGTCCTAAAAGCAGGCCGCACTTTTCAGGTTTTGAAACAGGATGGGAATACTTTAATGGCCTCCGTGCTGGTCTAGGACGGGAAGTTTTCTCCTGGTTCTGGATGGACCAGAAACTTAAAATCCTCCCTCAAACTTTGAAAATGTTCCAAACTGGATGTGAATTTCCAGGAAAGCATAATCAGGATCATCCGGATGCTCCGACATGCAGAGATTCCAGAATCAGGAAGAGATTAATCCGTCTAAATTATGTTTCCGTCTGGGTGGAACGATGCTGGTGGCTGAACTGGAGCTCGGATCTCTAGAAAATGAACCGCTGCAGGTTTCCTTGGAAACGAGCAGTCTAACTTCCTGCAGATGACCACAGCTTATCTTCCAGGAAGCGTGTGGTTTTATCAAGCTTCCTGTTTCGCCACATCTCATCTTCTCTGCTTGTTTTTTTCTTCAGGTTTTCGGGAACCATGAGTTTGATAACGGAGTAGAAGGACTCATGACGCCGTTCCTGCAGGACATCCAGTGTCCCGTCCTCAGCGCCAACATCAGAGCCGACAGCACCCTGGCCTCCACCTTCGGCCTCACATATTCACCCTACAAGATCTTTGAGGTCGAAGGTCAAAAGGTCGGAGTGGTTGGATACACGTCACGAGACACGCCTGCTCTGTCCAGACCCGGTAGGAAGGACTGAGACTGATCTACATCCATCCATCATCCATCCATCCATCCATTATCCATCATCCATCCATCCATCAATAATCATTCATCATCCATCCATCAAACATCCATCCATCCATCATTCATCATCCACCATC